TTTAGCAGAGACGGGATTTTGCTATGTTGGCCAGGCTGGCCTCAAACTCCTGACCTCAAGTGATTCGCCTGCCTTGGCCTTTCAAAGTGCTGGGATTACAGGCATGAGCCACTGTGCCTGGCCAAGAAACATTTTCAATAAGAAGATAACTACTGTTTTTTGGTTTTGGTTTTTGGTTTAAAAAAAACTGTTTAAACCATTTCTAACTGTACTTACAGGAGATAATATTACAGAACCTTTCATCACAGATTCATGACAGCCTTGCAGAACTGATTTCAGAGTTGACTTTGGGGTTACAGATCAGAGTGACCCTGTGATTGTAGCTTGCCCACACTCAGACTTTCTCTGAGTGATGTCCTTGAAGCTCTTGGTCTATGAAGTGCCCAGAACTTCAGACTTAAAGGATTTTTAAAAGGATTTAAAGTCTGTGGTCCCCCATGGGAATGATTTTCAGCTGAAACGTTTTTATTTGCCATAAACTTAAATACTAATGAATGGGTTTCTACCATGAGATCCTCTAGAAGCCATCTGGAAGGCTTGTCTCCAGAAAGCTGGCTTTTCCTTTTCTTGAGGATTTGAAGGGAGGTCCGTAGGCTGGCCCCAGAGCAGGCGTTTCCTCTCTTCCCTGGCCCCGGAAGAGTCACGTCCTAGCCCCTCTCTGTGGGCTTTTATTTTATTTTATTTTATTTATTTATTTTGAGATGGAGTTTCGCTCTCATTACCCAGGCTGAAGTGCAATGGCTTGATCTCGGCTCACCGCAACCTCCACCTCCTGGGTTCAAGCAATTCTCCTTCTTCAGTCTCCCGAGTAGCTGGGACTACAGGTGTGCACCACCATGCCCGGCTAATTTTTTTTTGTATTTTTTAGTAGAGACGGGGTTTCACCATGTTGACCAGGATGGTCTCAATCTCTTGATGTTGTGATCCGCCTGCCTTGGCCTCCCAAAGTGTTGGGATTACAGGCATGAGCCACTGCGCCTGGCCAATTGGCAATTTCTTTCTTTCTTTCTTTCTTTCTTTCCCTTCCTTCCTTTCTTCCTTCCTTCCTTCCTTCCTTCCTTCTTCTTTCTTTTCTTTCTTTTTGAGATGTAGTCTCACTCTGTCGCCCAGGTTGGAGTGTAATGGTGCGATATCTGCTCACTACAATCTCTGCTTCCCAGGTTCAAGCGATTCTCTTGCCTCAGCCTCCCCAGTAGCCAGGATTACAGGCATGTGCCACCATGTCCAGCAAATTTTTGTATTTTTAGTAGAGACAGGATTCACCATGTTTTCCAGGTTGGTCTTGAACTCTTGACCTTAAGTGATCCACCCACCTTGGCCTCCCAAGTGCCAAGGGGAATATCAAGGTGATTAACAACCTCCCCAGGCGAAACCAGGCCAGAGCAAAGCTGCTGGGGGCTCATGCCAGCCGTGCTTCCCATCCACGGCGCTCCTGTGGCTCACCTATGTGAGTTTCATGAGTTTTGACAACACGTACAGTAGTATAGCCGCTGCCATATTCAAGGTGAACAGCAAGGGAATCCTGTAAGGCACAGTAAACCCAGCTAGTTTCACCCAGTCAAAAGCCCACCTGTGGTCAAATCCCGTCCTAGCCCCAAAAAACAAAACTAAAAGCAATGCGAAAGAGAAGAACAACCCACCCAGTTATTTTTCAGTTCAATTCCAGAAACCACGTATCCTCTCTCCACCCCCGTGTCTAATCCACCACCTGGTCCTGTTGGATTTTGCCGCTGTAGTTCTCTTAAATCATCGTATTCCCTCCCACCCATCACTGTCCACACCCTGGTCCCAGATGCCTCCTCTCAAGCCTAAACCATGCAACGGGCTTCTGACTCGTCCTCCATGTTCTGGCTTGCCTTCTATCTAATGTGGTCTCCACGCTGCAGCCAGAAGGATCTTCTGGGCCGGGTGTGGTGACTCACGCCTGTAATCCCAGCATTTTGGGAGGCCAAGGTGGGTGGATCACCTGAGGTCAAGAGTTCAAGACCAGCCTGGCCAACGTGGTAGAACCCTGTCTCTACAAAAATATAACAAAATTAGCATAATGGTGGGTCCCTGTACTCCAAGCTACTCAGGAGGCTGAGGAAGGAGAATCACTTGAATGCAGGAGGCAGAGGTTGCATTGAGCCAAGATCGCACCGCTGTACTCCAACCTGGGTGACAGAGTGAAACTTGTCTCAAAAACAAAAAAATTGCTAAGTCTGTGCTGGGCGTGGTAGCTCACACCTGTGATCCCCACACTTTGGGAAGCTAAGGCAGGAGGATCACTTGACGATAGGAGTTTGAGACCAGCCTGGGCAGCACAGGACAACCCCATCTCTACAAAATATTTAAAAATTAGCAGGATATGGTGGCACATGGCTGTAGCCCCAGCTACTGAGAAGGCTGAGGTCAGAGGATTGCTTGAGCCTGGGAAGTTAAGGCTGCAGTGAGCCATGCTTATGCCACTGCATTCCAGCCTGGGTGACAGAGCAAGAAAAAAAAGAAAACAGGCCAAAACACCAAGTCTGGTCATGCCAACACCCCTCTCTGATTAAAACCCTTCAGTGGCACCCCACTGTCCACGTGGTGGCCAGTCTTTAACCAGACCCACCCAACCTTCATCCTGGTTCCCCACACCCTGGCCTGCCTCCGGGCCCCTCCTTCCCACCATGAGAACCATCTGGAATGAGTGCCCCCCCACACACACACCAGGCTCAGAGTGACTCTGGCTGTCTGAGGTCTCAGGTGAGCCTTTGCCGCCCGCTAGACCAGGTCCCGCCCGCCGTGCTCTTACGACTCTGTGTGGCGCCGTCTCCTGCCTGCATAGTTCTTGTTACCAGTTTGTAGAGATTTGTATGTTGATATGATTCGTGTCTGTTTCCTTCAGTGGACTTCCCAGATGTGCCAGGACCACATCCATTTTTGTTCATTCCATATTTCTCAGTCAATAATTAAATATTATTCATGTTTGCCCTATTGGCAAGGTAGCCTGGCCAACAAGATTTTATCAATCATTTGTTTATATCTTGAGATAGATTATACTGGCCCCCAGTGTTTAAAGTTTTGGTTTTCATGCATAGATTTAGTGTGCCCGTCATATTAATAAAAAACTCTTTCAGTGGAATATTGTCTTTTGCCTTTAGAGTGGTCTTTTCATTTGTCTCACTTGAGAGCTGAATCGCCAAAATTGCACAGGCTAAAATATCTTAGCAACGATCAGAACTATCAGTGTATATTTTTTGTTTCATTGTGTGCCTGTAGCATTGCACATCAATGATGCTCAATACATTTGTAGATTGGTTTATTATATATTATTTTCATTTGAAAAGCATATAACCACAGTATGCAGTTTAGGGAGGAAAGGAGAAAGTCATCTATCACATTACTGTTCAACCTCTGTTATAATTTTGGTATATTTACCCTTTGGCATTTTTATTTGCATTATTATTTATTTGTTTATTTTCTAAGATGGAGTCTTGCTCTGTCGCCCAGGCTGGAGTGCAGTGGCATGATCTTGGCTCACTGCTACCTCTGCCTCCCAGGTTCAAGCAGTTCTGCCTCAGCCTCCCAAGTGGCTGGGATTACAAGCCTGTGCCGTGAGGCCCAGCTAGTTTTTGTATTTTTAGTAGAGATGGGGTTTCACCATGTTGACCAGGCTGGTCTCAAGCTTCTGACCTCAGGTGATCCACCCATCTCAGCCCCGCAAAGTTCTGAGATTACAGGCATGAGCCATCATGCCCGGTCTTTTATATGCATTTTCTTTTCTTTTTTTTTTTTTTTTAATATGCATTTTCAACATTGCCGCAATCACGGTGTACGTAAAATTGTGTGTCCTGTTTTTTCCCTTTAATAACCTTATTGATGGGTCCAATTATTATATTGTATATGGGGTGATATTTATTCAGTTTGACTCAAGAAGCATTTATGAAGAATATACCGCTCCATATGCCTGATGCCATTCAAAAAACATATACAGTGCCTTGACTCTCCAATAATAGAATACCATAATTATGAAGCATGCAGTGACATTTTTATTTCATGGATGTGTCTTGTGGCCTCTCCTCTCCCAGAAGCAGGAGCAGTAGTGTGGGGGAGGGACTGCTCCTTCTGGGATCAGGGAGGCCTCTCTTGATGGTGACATTTGAGCAGGGACCTGAATGCAGGGAGTGGGGAGCTGTGCAGCTGTGGGGGAAGATTCTTCCTGCAGAGGGATCCTCAGGTGCAAAAGCCCTGAGGTGAGAGTGTGCCTGGTGTTTTCAAGGGACTGCAAAAGGACAGTGACAGCAGGGCATCGTGAGGGAGGGGAGAGGAGCTGAGGCCAGTGAGCTGCCGGGAGGCCTACAGGGTCTTCCTGGCCCTGGTGGGGCACCTAGCTTTTCCTCCTAGTGGGATGAGATGGTGGCATCGTGACAGGATTGCCTCGCTGTCTAGGTTTCTCTGTTCCTCTGCGGGGCCCTTCAGTTCCTGCCTTTGTCACCCTGCAGATGAGTGACCTCTTGCCAGGCCTGTAAACTCTCCCAGACACATGCATGATAATACACTGTGTGCGCTGCTTACACGTAAATGTGCAGGTGGGTGGTTGGCCACACCCAGCGGTGTCGCAGGCTGATTTGGTTATCACTGTTTCAGGAAACTGGGCACGTTCCACCTATTTGAAAAACCTTGCAACTATAGTTCTCATTTCTTAATCTTTTGCTCATTTGAGACCGTTGTTCCTCTCTGAAAATAATGACCAAATATGTTTTTCCAATTGCGTAAAAAACATGACCTAGTAAGGATTACTATTAGTCTGTGATTATTAAGCATGCTTCAACTCCTGAAATTCTAGAAAGCAGGTTTTTCTGTTGATTTTGGTTGGGGGTTGGTGATCCTCATTATAAGCTTTCTTGAATTGTGTTAGGCCCGTCACATGCCAAAGTTAGATCCCATTAGCAGGCTTAAAACATTTATTTCTGAAAGAACAAACTGTTACAGGTTGCTGAGTCTAATTGATTTCTTTTGTTTCCTTTCTGCTACAGGAGGAGACATCACAGCTTTCCCAGATCGGGAGGAAAAATATGGAATGTGTTTTACTGCTGACTGAACACAACCAAATGAACTGTCCTGACAGTAGTTTGAAAACCAGCAGCTAGCAGTTTGTCCAGCCTCTAACACTGTCCAGCACTTTCCAGCACAAACTCACTGTTTACAAGAACTCTTGGCCTTACGAAGTTTATAACCTCAAGCTTTGTTTATTTAAAATCTTCCTGCAAAAGAAAAGTACCTGGCACCCACGTTCCAAAATGGCCATGGATGAATATTTGTGGATGGTCATTCTGGGTTTCATCATAGCTTTCATCTTGGCCTTTTCTGTTGGTGCAAACGACGTTGCCAACTCCTTTGGTACAGCCGTGGGCTCTGGTGTGGTAACATTGAGGCAGGCGTGCATTTTAGCTTCAATATTTGAAACTACCGGCTCCGTGTTACTAGGAGCCAAAGTAGGAGAAACGATTCGCAAAGGTATCATTGACGTGAACCTGTACAACGAGACGGTGGAGACGCTCATGGCTGGGGAAGTGAGTGCCATGGTTGGTGAGTAGCCTCTCCTCTACACCGATGGGACATCTGCCCGCTGACCCGCTTCCCTGCAGTACTTTGCCCATATCCATAAATGTGATTTTTCCTTTGGCTTTTCAAAACTGGGTTGGATGTTTCATATGTACTCTCTTATTTTTGCTTTCTGCATCCTAATTTATGATTTTGAAAGTTTTAAAGTGTTCAAATATCAGGCAACCATTTATTTTCTCAACTTTTTAGCAAACTTGGTTGGTAAAATAGATTTCAGCTAAGTGAATACGTTTCAGAAAGTATAAATGAGATCTTTGTAGAATAGCGCTTTAGTATTTTAGAGTTGTTTGAAGGTTATCTAAGTGAATGTGTTTTCAAGGTTGACATATGAAATTCACAGGAAAGTTGATTTAGATTTTTTTCTTAAGGTTTTTCATCAATTAGGAGATAATGTTTTGAAAACTTGGATGTCAAAGTTAATATTTATTCATCTAACTTTTATATTCTCAGTTTAAGTTCTAAAGAAGTTACCAAATAAATCTTAAGTGCTTGTGTTTCAAGAAATTCTGGTCTTTTATATTATTTGTCATCCTTTCGTTGGCTTTTGTTTTGATTTTCTGATTCTACCTCTGGGAACTCCATTTGGTATGTTTGTTTTGTTTTCCGCCCAAAAAAATAATGTGCGTGTCGCCTGTGATAGCATGACCTTTTATTACGGTTTTAAGTTGTCTAGATGAAGTGTGGAGATGCGTGAACTGTGTGAATAAGCAGAGTGGCTGGCTGGACAGAGTGATTTCCCCATGGCCTAGGCAGACACAGATCCCGGTCCCATAGATCCTCCCGTCACCGCGCTCGCTAGTACAGAAAACCTTCTGGGCAGGCGTGCGTTAAGTGCAGCTGACAGGATTCTTTCTCTGCTTGCCTCTAGGTAGAGATGACGGCACAACAGACAGCTGATGTATACGGGTAATTTGGTTAGGGAGAAGAGGGTTAGAGAGGAATTCTACCACCTTCTGCTTTCCACAGGACATATCCTCTTGTAGGAAGAGTCCTGCAGCAGGAGGTAAGATGCTGGTGTACTGAGAATACAGCCACATTCTACGACCCCAACTTCTTTATTTTGTAACCTGCGTTTCTTTCCTTTTTTTCCTTTTTTTTTTTTTTTTTTGAGGAGTCTTGCTCTGTGGCCCAGGCTAGAGTGCAGTGGTGTGATCTCAGCTCACTGCAACCTCCGCCTCCCAGATTCAAGGGATTCTCTCACCTCAGCCTCTAGAGTAGCTGCGACTACAGGCGCCTGCCATTATGCCTGGCTAATTTTTGTATTTTTAGTAGCGATGGGATTTCACTATGTTGGCCAGGCTGGTCTTGAACTCCTGACCTCAAGCAGTCCACCCATCTTGGCTTCCCAAAGTGCTGGAATTACAGGCATGAGCCACCATACCCAGCCTGTCACTTGCATTTCTTAAACACCCAGAATGTAGAGATTATTGACCACGTTTACAATGGCCCAATCTCCTTTTGTTAGAAGGCGTCTGATCAGAAGCAGCCTGGTGTACTATGGTGTATTATTCACCACACACTATAGGTCAGTAACACATGCCAGGGAGCTCCTATTTCTCCGCTTGACGATTTGTGCTGTAAAGATGTCATATTAAACTTTGGGAGGCCCCCAAGATGGGTGGACCACTTGAGCCCAGGAGTTCAGACCAGTCTGGGCAACATAGGGAAACCCTGTCTCCACAAAAAATTTATAACATGTCTACAGCCATACCACCCTGAACGCGCCTGATCTCGTCTGATCTTGGAAGCTAAGCAGGGTCGGTCCTGGTTAGTACTTGGGAGACCGCCTGGGAATACCAGGTGCTGTAGGCTTAAAAAAAAAAAATTTAGAACATTAGCTGGGCGTGATGGCTCATGCCTGTAGTCCTAGTTGCTTGGGAGGCTGAGGTGGGAGGATCGCTTGAGCCCAGGAGATTGAAGCTACAGTGAGCTGTGATTATGCCACTGCACTCCAGCATGGGTGACACAGTCAGACTCTGTCTCAAAAAATAATAATAATAATAATCAGATTCCAGATCACTTTTATTTTAACAAATACAGTCATTATTGAATTTTACTTACCTTCAGGAAACATAGATATCTCAGCATAGTCAGATATAATGGAAATTTCCCTTGGAAAAATAACCATTCTTTGTAAAATTCATCCTTGATAGTTGTGATAGATATCTAGTTCCATCAAGCAGAAATTAAGACTTTTCTAGTCAAGAAAACTTGACCAGATATGTTGAAAGTATGGAACAAATCAAGAAAAACACTGACAAAATTAAATCTTTTTTTTTTTTTTTTTTTTCAAGACAAGAATGTCACTCTGTTGTCTAGGCTGCAGTGTAGTGGCGTGATCTTGGCTCACTGCAACCTCTGCCTCCCAGGTTCAAGTGATTCTCCTGCCTCAGCCTCCTGAGTAGCTGGGATTATAGGCTCCCACCACCACGCCCAGCTAATTTTTGTATTTTTAGTAGAGATGCAGTTTCACCATGTTGGTCAGGCTGGTCTCAAGCCCCTGACTTCATGATCCTCCCACCTTGGCCTCCCAAAAGGCTGGGATTACAGGGGTGAGGCACTGTACCTGGCCTAAAATTAAGTCTTTTTTTTTGAGACGGAGTCTTGCTCTGTCACTAGGGTGGTGTGCAGTGGCGTGATCTTGGCTCACTGCAAACTCCACCTCCCGGGTTCAGGCTATTCTCCTGCCTCAGCCTCCCAAGTAGCTGGGACTACAGGCACATGCCACCACACCCAGCTAATTTTTGTATTTTTAGTAGACGGGATTTCGCCATGTTAGCCGGATGGTCTTCATCTCTTGACCTCGTGATATGCCTGCCTCAGCCTCCCATAGTGCTAGGATTACAGGCGTGAGCTACCGTGCCCCAAAATTAAATCTTAACTAAAGTTTTTCCTTTTGATGGATAAACTTTAAAGGAACGGCACTGCTTATTAAAGAAATGTGTTAGTGAGGCTGCGCTGAAGACCTCTGTGGGGCTAGAGGGCTCACTCTTCCTACAGACAGGATGACTTGTTTCGTTTCTCAGTTCCCCAGCCCAGGCCGTTGGCTCTTTACTGGAAGAATGAAGGACACTTACCTCAACTAGAATTGGGGTGTACCAAAGCAGTTTGGGGTTTTGCTTGAATAACTTGATTTTGTTTGCTTTGGGTTTTTAAACATTTTTGGGGGGTATGTGGTTAGATGAATCTCAAAGCCTATTTTCTTGGGAATTTGTATGAGTTACCTAGATTTGTAAAATCAGGTCCTTTGCCCTGGGAGCTACATAAATTTAAGATGGTGGTGTAATTACCCATTGGCCAAAACCACAGCCGACGCTGTCCAGATGCCTGAATTCTGCAGTCTTCCTCTCCTAAATCCAGCAGGCCTTTTTGCCTTCTCCCTCCCAGCCTGCACCCCCTTACCCCCCAAACCCCCTACCCCCTACCTCCCCACCCTCCCGCCCCCCCACGCCCCCAATCCCCACTCCCCCACCCCCCTACCCCCCTCACTGCCCCCCCTCCTTAATTCTATTCTACTGGCTTCTTCTATTTTCTCTTTCAGTGGCTTCTCCCCCAGCCCCTGGGCCTCTGTGCCCCACTCACAGAGTCGTGTTTGAGTTAAGGTGGCTGAGCAGCCGCTGGAATCGTCCTGAGCAAGTCATCTTGCGGGACTAGCTCAGCCCTACAGCAGTAGTCTGTCCATTCTGTAGGAAACCACCAGTGGCTCCAAAAATCTGAGAATTCAAAACCCTGCAACTTCTTGTGGAAAGACCCACACTAGCACAAACGAGCCAGCTCCTCCAACCCCATAAGAAGCGCACGCCCCCCCTTCAGCTCCCTCTGCCCAGCCACACTCTGCGCCACCTCACCCCTGCCCAGCTGCCTCGCTGGCGCCTGAACCTTTGCTCTGCCGCATCTTTCATCTGCACAGGAAAGGCGGCCCCCAAGATGCCCATCTCCCCACTTTCCCTAGGTCCCGTCTTGCAGCCTTATCCCGTGCTTCATCTCTTTCCTCCTTGTCAGATGCCATTACCGTACATTCAAGTGTGTCATTTTCCTGACACTAACGTGATCTCGTTTATCTTCAGACACCCCTGAGGCTAAGGCTCTCTCACCTATCCCAGGCCCTGGCCCCACCTGCCCTTCCCTCAGCTGCCCCCTCTCTCCTCCCCGCCCTGCTGGCCTCCCCCCTCTCACAGGTGGTCCCATTACTCCCTCCCTTTCTTTACAGACTCTCCTACTCCAGGATATATTTTGTAAAGTCAAACACAGGAAATATAGCAGCTTTCAGGAAGGACAAATCTCATGATCTAAATTCAGTGGTGTGGGTTGATAGCATTGTCTCACATCATGAGATTCTTTTAATTGTCAGGATAGAAACCATATCATATCTTTTCTAAGCTATGAATCTGTGCTATGAAACATGCTCCAAACCCTGGCTTTTTTTTTTTTTTTTTTAAACCACTAGTCCCCGAGGAGCCCAGGGCTCAGATGTGGAGGCTTAAGGACGTGTCCGCGGGTTAGGCCTGGCGCTGTCATAGAGCCCGATACGGGTTTGGCAGCACAAGGCTGGCCCCTACTCCTCCCAACGCACGCCCCAGGGATTGACACGGGGTCACAGCTGGCCTCAGCTCAAAGGTCAGCACGCCCAGCACGCATGGGAGCAGCTGCATGTATTGCTTCATAGACTGGGACCTACACAGCCCTAAATGATCCTCCTGCAACTCAGATGCCTCTGAAGGAAATGCCAGGGGTCCCCTGAACGGTGCTGCTGCTGCTGCCAGGCAACCCGGTTTCCAGAATTAACGTTTGGGATTAATAACGTGCCCAGCTTATCAGCCAGGCCGTTTGTTCCCCTGCAGTTCCATGGGAGCTTTTCAGCAACTGCTTCTGAAAGTGATCTCTCCCGACCGATGCTTTTAATACTCACTGCAAAATCTGATCTGCTTATGAAAATATCTGAAGTGAACTGTAGCCTAGAAAAACATTAAACCTAGAAAAGAGTTGGTGAAATTGAGGTCAAAGGACACAAAGCCAACACTAATGGGATCCTCGTAACAACGAGGAATCAGACACACAAATAAAAGGTCCAGCATTCTGGGCAGGGGCTGACAGCAGATGCCCAAATTTGGATTAAATATCTTGGTTATTTCTCACAGGAGAGGCACCATCAAAAAGCAGTATGGGCTGGGTGCAGTGGCTCATGCCTGTCATCCTAGCGCTTTGGAACGCTGTGGCGGGAGAATGGCTTGAGCCCAGGAGTTCGAGACCATCCTGGGCAACAAAGCAAGACCCCATCTCTGCAAAAATTTTAAAAATTAGCTGAGTGTCCCAGCTCGTGCCTGTAATCCTAGGGCTTTGGGAGGCCGAGGCAGGAGAATTGCTTAAGGCCAGGAGTTCAAGACCATCCTGGGTAACAGCAAGATCCTATCTCTGCAAAAAAAATTTAAAAATTAGCCAGGTGTGGTCATGCACACTTCTAGTCCCAGCTACTTGGGAGGCTGAGGCAGGAGGATCATTTGAGTCCAGGAGTTTAAGGCTGCAGTGAGCCATGATCATGCCACTATACTGCAGCCTGGGCAAGAGTGTGACCCTGTCTCTAAAAAAGAAAAAAAGCAACATGGTATTACACTCTCTTACATAGATAATATGACCTACCCAATATGTAGTCCTTTTCATTATGTGACCGTAAGTCATAACTATAACAAAATGGTTTCCCGGTACGTTGCCTTTCTTGCCTTTCTGTGTTCATTCGAGTCTTTAATCTCTTGCTTGGTTTTGGCCAAACTTCACCCCGAAACGAGTTCCTCTGCAACACCCTCACTGAAAACTGACACGGGCAGTCAGTGTGGAGCACCAGGAAACTTGCCTTTAAATGCATAATCAGGCCAGGCGCAGTGCCTCACGTCTATAATCACAGCAGCACTTTGGGAGGCAAAGGCAGGCGGATCACTTGAGGTTAGGAGTTCAAGACCTGCCTGGCTAACATAGTGAAACCCCGTCTCTACTAAAAATACGAAAATTAGCCAGATGGGTTCGCTTGAACCCAGGAGGCGGAAGTTGCAGTGAGCCAAGATCAGGCCACTGCACTCCAGCCTGGGCAACACAGCGGACCTGCCTCAAAAAATTAAAAAATTAAATGAAAAAATAATCATCATCCCTGTCCTCTCTGTGTTGAAGAAGACAGAAGTATTCCTTTAACTAAAGTAATTGAGTGACTTTTGTCCAGGCTGTAGCACTTTGTGAAGAAACAATTCACAGAAAATGAAACTCAGAGAGATGTTATGGAGAACATTTGGATTTCTTTCCTTGGCGTTTGCACCTCTGTACTGTGCGTCTGATGATTTTTGTCCTTCAATCCATAGGTTCTGCTGTGTGGCAACTGATCGCATCCTTCCTGAGGCTTCCGATCTCAGGAACTCACTGCATTGTGGGTTCTACTATAGGATTCTCACTGGTCGCAATCGGTACCAAAGGTGTGCAGTGGATGGAGCTCGTCAAGATTGGTAATTGCCATTTTCTTTTACCTGTAAGAAGGAAAATTGACATTTTCTTTTTTTTTTTTTTTTTTTTTTTTTTAAAGGCAGAGTTTCGCTCTTGTTACCCAGGCTGGAGTGCAATGGCGCAATCTTGGCTCACCGCAACCTCCGTCTCCTGGGTTCAGGCAGTTCTCCTGCCTCAGCCTCCTGAGTAGCTGGGATTACAGGCATGCACCACCATGCCCAGCTAATTTTTTGTATTTTTGGTAGAGACGGGGTTTCACCATGTTGGCCTGGAAGGTCTCGATCTCTTGACCTCGTGATCCACCCGCCTCGGCCTCCCAAAGTGCTGGGATTACAGGCTTGAGCCACCGCGCCCGGCCGAAAATTGACATTTTCTAGAGTAAGTTTTATTGCATGTTACCTTTATATCTTTTTCTTCAAATGTTAAGGTTTAAAAGACCTAGATGGGGCTGGGCGTGGTGGCCCACGCCTATAATCTCAACACTTTAGGAGGCTGAGGCAGGCAAATCACAAGGTCAGGAGTTCAAGAGCAACCTGGGCAAGATGATGAAACCCCGTCTCTACTAAAAATACAAAAATTAACCAGGCGTGGTGGCTAGCACCTGTAATCCCAGCTACCTGGAAGGATGAGGCAGGAGAATTGCTTGAACCCGAGTGGCAGAGGTTTCAGTGAGCCGAGATCACACCACTGCACTCCAGCCTGTGAGATAGAGTGAGACTCCATGTCAAAAAAAAAAAAAAAGACCTAGATAGGCTAGGTATGGTGGCTCATGCATGTATTCCCAGCACTTTGGAAGACCAAGGCAGGCAGATCACCTGAGGTCAAGGGTTCAAGATCAGCCCGGCCAACATGCAAAACCCCATCTCTACAAAAATTAACCGGGCATAATGGCAGGTTCCTGTAACCCCAGCTACTCGGGAGGCTGAGGCAGGAAAATCACTTGAACCCAGGAGGCAGAATTTGCAGTGAGCTGAGATGGTGCTACAGCATTTCAGCCTGGGTGAGAGAGTGCGACTGTGTCTCAAAAACAACAACAACAACAACAACAACAACAACAACAACAACACCTAGATAGTATGAGTAATGCATTTTCCCTTAAAATTCCTGTTAATGGAGATAGTGAACTATTATCTGCTAGACAATTGTTTACTCTTTTTTTTCTTTTTTTTTGAGACAGAGACTTGCTCTGTCGCCCAGGCTGGAGTGCAATGGCACAATCTCGGCTCACTGCAACCTCCACCTCCTGGGTTCAAGTGATTCTCTTGCCTCAGCCCCCCGAGTGTTGGGATTACAGGCGCCTACCACCGCGCCCGGCTAATTTTTGTACTTTTAGTAGAGATAGGGTTTCAGCATATTGGTCAGGCTGGTCTTGAACTCCTGACCTCAGGTGATTCGCCCCGCCTTGGCCTCCTAAAGTGCTGGGATTACAGGCGTGAGACACCGCACCTGGCCCAACTCTAATCTTTTAAAATGTTACTGTGTCATCCAGCTTTGGAAATCACCCTCTGTTCTTCCCAGGCAGGTAAGAAATGTATTTGACTGAAGTCAGTCTGTAGGTCAGAGAAAGACTGGGCGCAAGTGAGGAAGGTGCCTGGAATCCAGGAGTTCGGAGTCTTGGGGAAGCCTCAGAGTGAGCCCCGTGTTATGTCCCTCCCTGCGTTCAACAGATCATCCAGGCCAGGCGTAGTGGCTCAGGCCTGTAATCTCCACACTTTGGGAGGCCAAGGCAAGAGGATTGCTTTAGCCCAGGAGTTCAAGACCAACCTGAGCAACATAGCAAGACCCCATCTTTATTTAAAAAAAAGAAAAGGAAAGAAAATTAGCCTGGTGTGATGGTGCACACTTGTAGTCCCAGGTACTCAGAAGGCTGAGGTGAGAGGATCACTTGAGCCTGGGAGGTTGAGACTGCACTGAGCCATGATTGTGCCACTGCATTCTAGCCCCTGGGTGACAGAGTGAGCCCCTGTCTCAAAAAAAAAAAAAAAAAAAAAAAAAAGAAAGAAAGAAAGAAAAGAAAGTAAGTCATCCAGCTTGCCCTTAGGGAAGAAACGCTCTACCGAGTATCCTCTCTACCTTGTAAGCCTGCCCGGCAGGGACCAACACATAAGCCTGTACCTATTCTCAGGGGTCCAACGAGTTAGTGCCTGGCTCTGCTTTTAGCAAGAGGTGAATCTAATCAACTCCACGAGTACCGACCCATCCATTGTGAAAAATACTCTTTTATTCCGTCTCCATCTTCTGGGTTACTCAGTTTTTTACAAGAATCATGATGGCCTTAGGAGTTCTGGGTCAAACTGGACCCCTGACCTGGCAGGCAGGGGCACAGACCACAGGGGAACCCACCTTCCACCCCAGGCTTCTAGGAGAGTGGTTCTCAACTCTGGCTGCACTTTAGAATGACCTGGGGAAGTGATTTTAAAACACCAATGCCCAGACCCCATTCCCAACCTTTTAAATCAGAATTCTGGGGGTCCAGCCAGAGCCAAACTAGTTTTTTAAAACACCCCAGATGGTTCCACTGTGCAGTCAGAGGTGGGAGCTACTTGGCTAGAGGCTAAAAGTTTCAGAGTTTCAGTAGTTAGATGGCAGGAGTGAAAGTACCAGGCTGGCCTTGGCAAAGGAAGTGGAAGTTGGCCCAGCTCTTAAATAACCCTTACTGTTGGAACAGCGACCGAGTCTCCAGTGTATGTTGATAAGAAGGGCAGGCAGAAAGACTCCATGGGCGGCAGCACTCAGGACGCTGCCTTCTGAGGCCAGAGCTCGGGGCCGGGGTTCCTTGGCTCTGCACTGGCGGTGTGGTCAGTGGTGCGTGACTGTGTGTTGGTGTCTGAGTGTGGCCATAGATGGATACAGGTTAGCTCTGCAAAGTCACAGGGTTCATTAGGTTCTGAGTTAAAGGTAAATAATTCTGGAGATATTTATGAATGTATGTAATACGTTTTGTTTATCATTGTGTTCTATGAATATGACCATAATTATGGATGAATTTTAACATTCATTAGATTTTTTTTTAATTATTCAGTTGCTTCTTGGTTTATATCTCCACTGTTGTCTGGTTTCATGTCTGGCCTGCTGTTTGTACTCATCAGAATTTTCATCTTAAAAAAGGTAAGTGGGGCTTCCACTTTTAATTAATCTTAAGAACTGGTTTTGGCTCTACTCAGTAGAAATTAATAATGAGAGGCGTTAGAGGAATAATTGTATTTATACATTGTTCAGGCGCAGCACCCTGCAGTTAGCAGTCGGATATTATTATAAATAACCAGAAAGAGCCAAGGTAAATTACCCAGAGATTTCCCCAGAATGAAGCACTGCAAATAGTGTTTCTTGGCTCTGTGCTTTAGTTCATTAGTCAGCCCTCCCAGGAATTGTGCTGAGACCTCAAAAAGGAAAGGCAATTATTTCCTGAATGTTAAACAGAATAGAATGAGATAGTGTTAAGATTTTGAAACTGTCGTTAAAAAACAGCTGGAGAGTTTCCTTACCCAAATGTAAAGGTGTTTTTCTATTTTTCTTTTAATGGAGAAAGCAAGCTTGAAACACCAACTCCATTTGAAGAAAGGATAAAAAGAAGGAAATATACCAATTGGGTGCATCTTACCTAAAAAAAAAGTTAGCGCTTACTGAGATCAGTGTTCTAGACACGAAACGTGGCTCTCTTTTTTTGTTTGGGAGTCAGCAGGCTGCTGCGGTGTTTGCTAACCATCGCTTCCTCTGCAGGCAGGGACGTGCCCTCCAGGCTGTACCTTGCTTGGAAGCAAGCTCAGCCCTTTTCCCACAGCCTTGCTTGTCCGTCTATTGAAGGGCTCATTCTCTCAGAGAACACGAAGTTGCCGTCACCATTTCTCACCCTTCCTTCTCCTGGGACCAGCTACACTCAGATGCACGTCTTGGAAGGCACGCCCCTCTCTAGCCTGCCAGCCTTCACCCCTCCCCTCCTGTCCCTGGAATCCGTGCTCACCTGTCAAGCCCTACTCAGCCCTCATGTGTCACTTCCTAGGAAGCTGCTCCTCTCCTCCCCTTCCCCAGACTCACTTGATGCCCTCTCTTTTGCGTTCCTGCCTCAGTCTACCTTCCCATGGCGGCACTTAGCATGTCATATGGTGCTGCGTTTCTTGCTTATTACCTGTTCACTATTTGACTGTAAGACCTGTGAGAGCAGAAACTATGACTGTCTTGGCCACTTTTGTATTCCAGGGCCCGGCACTTGTGCTTGGCATTTATAAGACACTTGGTAAATATTTAGGAGGAGGGAATAATAGATGCTTGGATGGGTAGCAGGTGATGGAGGGATGGATAGATGCAAAAAAGGAAAGGAGAGAGAGGAAGTAGAAGGTAGAAAGGAGACAGGTCCAATAAGAAGTCTGTCAAGGACTTTGAGGAATAAGTTATTTTAGGCCTGGTATGGTGGCTCACATCTATAATCCCAGAACTTTGGGAGGCCAAGGCGGGTAGATAAGTTGAGTTTGAGACCAGCCTGGTCAGCGTGGGGAAACCCCATCTCTACTAAAAATACACAAATTAGCTGGGTGTGGTGGTGCATACCTGTAGTCCCAGCTAGTCAGGAGGCTGCGGCAGGAGAATCGCTTGAACATGGGCGGGCGGAGGTTGCAGTGAGTCAAGATCATGCCACTGTACTCCAGCCTGGGCAACAGAGTGAGACTCCATCTCAAAAAAAAAAAAAAAAAAAAAAAACAAGTTATTTGAGAAAAACACACAGTGATTTAATTAAAAACACAGACTCAGGGCGCCTACCTGCAGAAGCTGTTGGTTGGGAATCTCTCTTTAGCAGCTGTTGTCCCTAAGGAAACAATGCTTTGGAAACCAAAGGCTGTAGGCATTGAGCCTCCAGCATTTTGTTTTCAGTTCAGCCTGGGTTCTTTTCACTTGATACATCACAGATGATCATAACTGGCTGTATCGCTCACGCCGGGCTCCGTTTCATTCATCTCGATGTTTGACACTTGTCTTTCTCTCCCGCCTGGTCCAGTGTGACACTCCCACACTTGAGTCTCATTCTGTCCTGCTCTTACTGTACCTCACGCCTCACTGCATTCAACTCCAGCCTCTTGACAAGTGCTCTTGGCTCCTTGAGACATTCCAGAACAGCTCCTCGATGGGCTCTGATGTTCTGCAAACATACCTGACTTCCATGTGTGTTTGCATTTGGCAGTAGCAGTCTTTGAGATGCTTATCCGTACTTCCGAAGCTCTTACCGGTTTTTAGACCTAATTTTCCTTTGATCACAGCAGGTAGCCTGTTCATGTAAGTGTGTCCTTTGTGGTTACTAGAAGTTAGTCCCTTTTTGAATTATTTGAGCCACATCTGTGTGCCAGAGCTACATTGATGGGAGTTCCTGGCCCATATTTTTACTTCAAAATTCTCTGCATATCTGCTAAAAACTCTAAATTTCTCATATTCTCTCAGATGTTGTTTAACCTAAAACATGCACAACACCATTCTTGTTGAAGTTACTATATTTAGGGAGTGTTGTAGCAGAAGCCTAAATTAGTAAATAAATGTCGAATGTCGAATAAATTATTTGACAAGGAACCACAGTTCTTTTTAACTTCTAATAGTTGAAGGCTAAATATTGTACTTGTGAAAAGACTCAGAAAATCATAGCACATAGTAACATAGCTGACATGGCGTTGTGTAATAGAGTGTTGTAAAATCTAATGGTAATGCAGGGATGCTGAAGTCATCTGACTCTGTTAGAGGATCCTTGGAGGTTAAATCTCATTATTTGTTGAATGTAGCCAGTTAGGGCCAAAGCTGGACTCCACGTAGCGAACGCTGTGGGTTTTGAAGAAGGAGATGCTCAGCTCTGGGCTTTGGTCCTCCGGAACCAGCTTAACCTAATAGTTTTTTTTCTGTTTTGAAGTCTGACATCAGCTCATGTGATTCCAGTGCTTAATGTGTCTGCTGGCCACAACAGTGGCCTCTTTGACACTGCGTTTGTGTGGGAGAGACGACCCCAGCCAATGCCGTTTCTATAGAAGTGGAGCAGATCTCAGGCGGAGACAACGTCCGCCCTTTTGGCCACTCTGGGGTTTGGGAAGACTTTCTTGTAGCAGTATTTTGTATCATTTTGTCTGTGTTGGCTCCAAATGCTGCTGGGATCCTGACCTCCCACTCTGTCCTTGTCCCACAGGAAGACCCTGTTCCCAACGGCCTCCGGGCACTGCCAGTATTCTATGCTGCTACCATAGCAATCAATGTCTTTTCCATCATGTACACGGGAGCACCAGGTAAGATTCCCTTGGAAGCATACTCCAGGGGCAAAGTGCATTGTATTCTAACAGTATCAGTTTATTTGGTGCTGGCCTTGTTGGCTGACAATAAAAAACATTACTCACGGTCATTATGAAATAGTAAAAAGAGTGATAAATGCATTTACTCGTCTTAATTAAATACCCAAGAGATACATAGAGTACAAAAGCAGCAGCCTTTCAAGTTAGAAAAAAAAATTAAATCCCCACTCAGCTTGCTCAGCATCTCTGAGGATTTTTTGTGGAGGGGGTTAAAAATTATTTTTCTTTCTTTTCTTTTTTTTTTTTTTTTTTTTTTTAGCGAAGACGGGGGATCTTACTCTATCGCCCAGGCTGGAGTGCAGTGGTGCAATCATAGCTCACTGCAGCTTTGACCTCATGAGTCCAAGCAGTCCTCGCACCTCAGCCCCCTGAGTAGCTGGGACCACAGGTGTGCGCCACCACACCCAGCTTTTTATTTTTCACAGCAGTGGGGTCTCTCTATATTGCCTAGGCTGGCGTCAAACTCTTGGCCTCAAGTAACCCTCCTGCCTCAGCTTCCCAAAGTGCTGGGATGACAGGTGTGAGCCACACGGTGCCTGGCCTAATACTTTTCTTTTAGACCTTGTATAGGAAAAGAAATAAACTTACGCATGGTATTCTTATTTGCACCCATTTCAACATTGATGAGCCGGCAGCATTCTGTTAAATATTTCTGTACATGTCGGGGAGAGAACATTCCTCCTCTATTTGTGAGATGCGTCTCCTACAGCCAGACTGTGGGATGTGGCGTCAACAGATGTGTTAGTTAGTGTTGGTTTTTATCTTGTTAATGTCCTTTATGGATGAGGATTCGGTTATTAGCCATATCTGACAGAAAAGGCTCCCTCTCTGTTTTAAAGATGAAATTTCTGCTAAATAACATGTCCTATCATAATCAAAAAGTGCCCTCTTCCAAAATAGTGGAAATCTTTATCACTTCCTGAAACTAGTTCTTCTCAATGTAATGTTTCTCACATTTTATTGCACGTATCTAATTATATTTTATATGTTTCAGTATTGGAAATAAATTATTTCTAAATGATTCTAACATTATATAACCTTCTTGTGGCATCTGTGCAGCATTCAGAACATTGATCTTAAGGTTTAAATACTCACTGTGGGGCTTCCAGACTTTGGGAGATTTGGGGATGAGGAAGAGGGAGCGTCACAGCTGCTTCAGGTGCTAGGAAAGCAGGAAGCAAAGGTTGTAGGGGTGAGGAGAGCAGGAGGAAGGTGAAATCCCAGTCACAGGGAACAGCAGCCTGCTGCCTCTTTCAAGTTTATAATTCATGGACTAGGAAGTGTGTTTGTCACTGCTTTTTGAAATATGTGCCCCATGATAAGTTTTTTTTTTAAAGTGAGGCCAGGTGTGGTGGCTCACGCCTGTAATCCCAGCACTTTGGGAGGCCGAGGAAGGCAGATCACTTGAACCAGGTCAAGAGTTCGAAACCAGTCTGGCCAACATAGTGAAACTCTGTCTCTACTAAAAATACAAAACTTAGCCAGGCATGGTGATGCACACCTGTTATCCCAGCTACCCGGGAGGCTGAGGCAGGAGAATCGCTTGAACGCACTCCCACCACTGCACTCCAGCCTAGGTGACAGAGCAAGACTCTGTCTCAAAAACAAAACAACAAAAAAACAATTTTTCAAGTGAGTGACAGAGAAAAACCCGTTCCATACCACGGAGTTGAGCACGCCACCTAGTGTGTGAATCCTTCAGGCATCTCTTAGTGCCAGGCACTTGGAAGGCCCGGAGCGCTGGATTGGAAGTGAACTCTATAGCGAGAGATATCTTAGACCTTGTTCTTATTTTATATGGGCTTTTAGAGCTGAAGTTAGCTGAGCAGAAAGCAAAGCATCCACATTCACCAGACGCCTCCTTGCTTGGTGACTTAGGAGCCTGAGCCAGTGAAAGCTGAGGATGCCTTCTGTGGTGCCAAGTCCCGAACATGGGAATTGGCATCGATATGGATGGGGTTTCTTTCTGCATTTTATTTTTTCCACCCTCTATTCTTTTTGCTTCCTGGCTCTTCTTCCAACTGTCAGAAGAAGACACTTCTGATTTTTAATACAAGTCTGACTTTTTCTATACATGGCCCTTTTTCCCCATCTCTTCTTGTCCCCATCTTTCGGCTGCAGTTGGCACATTTGCTAAAAGTGTCATCTTACCGGGAGAGTAAATTACCCTAGGGGAAATTAAAGTATGTGATGATTGGGACTCTAAGAATAATATAAATCCTTTATGTGGTTGTTGTGAGAAATAAATAATGTAAATGTATCGAACTGAGCTTTACGTGGATTAATTCTTTAGTCCTCCCAGCTACTCTTGGAGATTGGTAATACAAATAACCTCACGTTACAGGTTGGAAACGGAGGCAGGGCAATGCTGAGTATCCAAGATCCTGTAACTGATAGGATGTAAAACCAGGATTTGAGCCAGGCGTCTAGTCCTGAGCCCCAGTGTCTTAGTTGTGACATTATACAGATACAGATAGCTTCAAACACCACGTATAATGCCTGGTATGTAATGTTGCTGTTCATGACAATAAAAATTGCATCAACCTTAACAAATTCTTTCTCTTCTCTTAACTCCCTTTAAAAATGTCTTCCAGTATATTTGGAAACCTGGCTAACGCACACACACATACACACACACGAAGATGGAGTCTTGCTCTGTCTCCCAGGCTGGGGTGCAGTGGTGTGATCTCGGCTCACTGCAGTCTCCGTCTCCTGGGTTCAGGGATTCTCCTGCCTCAGCCTCCCGAGCAGCTGGAACTACAGGCACGTGCCACCACAACCAGCTAATTTTTTTATTTTTAGTAGAGACAGGGTTTCACCATGTTGGCCAGGCTGGTCTTGAACTCCTGACCTCAGGTGATTAGCCTGCCTTGGCCTCCCAAAGCACTGAGATTACAGGCAGTATTCCTGGCAATTTTTATATATATTTAATATATGTATTTTTGTATATATTTAATATATATATTTTTGTATATATTTAATATACTAGTTAAAAGAAGCCTCTACCTCCTTAACTAGGAATATAAAAAATCTGGGCTGGTGATGGTGGTTCACACCTGTAATCCCAGCACTTAAGAAGGCTGAGGAGGGAGGATCACCTGAGGCCATGTGTTCAAGACCAGCCTCGGCAACATAGCAAGACCCATCTCTACAAAAATAACAATAATAATAATAGTAATTGTAAAATCTGTATGGGGGAGTAAAGGCTATTATGAACTATGATCATGCCACTGCACTCAAGCCAGATGACAGAGAGAGATCCTATCTCAAAAAAAAAAAAAAAAAAAGGCCGGGCATGGTGGCTCAAGCTTGTAATCCCAGCACTTTGGGAGGCCAAGGCGGGTGGATCACGAGGTCGAGAGATCGAGACCATCCTGGTCAACATGGTGAAACCCCGTCTCTACTAAAAATACAAAAAATTAGCTGGGCATGGTGGCACATGCCTGTAATCCCAGCTACTCAGGAGGCTGAGGCAGGAGAATTGCTTGAACCTGGGAGGCGGAGGTTGCAGTGAGCCGAGATCGCACCACTGCACTCCAGCCTGGCGACAGAGCGAGACTCTGTCTCAAAAAAAAAAAAAAAAAGGACTTTGCTAGTATTCTGATTCCTAGAGAATGTTTCTAGAATGTCCTTTTACCCTTCAATCTAGACTTGAATTACGTACTGTTTCTTCAGTATGGGTTATCTCTGCAAGTCCAGCTGTGTCATCAGTAATCATGGTGTCCTATTTTGTGTTTTTGGTGTTTTAATTTCCTCTGCTCTCTACTCTAAATTATTGTGAAGTGGATTATTTCTTAGGCTTAGTTTGATTTCTTGCAACCTCTGCTTCCTGGGTTCAAGTGATTCTCCTGCCTCAGCCTCCTGAGTAGTTGTGACTACAGACGCGTGCTACCACACCCAGCTAATTTTTGTATTTTTAGTAGAGATAGGATATCACCACTTTTCCTCAAATAAAAGTCATTCTTGCACTTCAAAGATTAAGTTCACACTTTGAAAAAATTGTCTTTGAGTTTTTGTTCTTAAAAACATTATTTGCAAGGATTAAAAAAATTAACTTTAGGAAATGAAATGCTTACTTGGGTTGGATACAAGCCTAAGGTTCAATTTTAATGAAAACGTCTTCAGTTGTGTGGGGCCTGGTTTTTGTTCAGTGTTGAAACAGTGAATGCTAAAGTTCAAGGCATGCCCCTTTGAACAGTCAAAGCAGGTACCCAGTTAAGCCTCCGGTAGACACCTTCTAAGGCAACGTGTGGTCCCAGCCAGCAGCAGCCTGTGGGAACTTGTCATAATGCAGATTCCAAGGCCTGGCCCTGGACCCACTGAATGGGAGACACGGCAGCCCAGTGCTCTGTGCTTTAATAGGGGAGCCTTGGTGATTCAGACGCATGTTTACAGTTTGAGAACTCCTGCTCTAGGCACGTCTCTTATCAGAAACATGGCTTCCTCATTACAGTTCTCATGGAATGGGCACTCCCAAAAATTCTAACCCTGACCCTAACCCAACCTTTGCTCACTCTTTTCCACCAGCAAAGGAATTCCCAACTTCACCAGGCCTGGTTCCTGACTTCCCCAAAGCATGACTGTATGTGAGACGTGCCTGCCCCTGCCTCTGTGGCCTCCTCCCCCTCCTCCTCTCCTCCCTCCTTTTCCTCCTCTATCTCTTCCTCTTACTTTTCATCTTCCCCTCCTCCATCTTCCCCTCCTCCATCTTCCCCTCCTCCATCTCTTCCTCCTCCTCCATCTCTTCCTCCTCCTCCATCTCTTCCTCATTCTCCTCCATCTCTTCTTCCTCCTCCTCCATCTCTTCTTCCTCCTCCTCCATCTCTTCCTCCTCCTCCGTCTCTTCCTCATTCTCTTCCATCTCTTCTTCTTCCTCCTCCATCTCTTCCTCCTCCTCCTCCGTCTCTTCCTCCTCCATCTCTTCTTCTTCCTCCTCC